GATATTATGATATCATCATCACTGGAATGCTTTTAAATAAATCACGACAGCTGAATGTTTGCAAACTAGCAGAAGCTCTGAGGGATTGAACTTTACCCTAAGAATTCTCACTCAAATTGCCCTATGCTATAGTCCGCTTTGAAATCTAATATCTTACATGGTTTCTCTGTACATTGCATTCAGATTTACGTTGAAAATAGGGCATTCAAACGCTCATACCTTTTTTCCCTCAATAAACTGAACTAATCAAGCATCAGGTCATTGGTCGTTGCTAGGCTTGGACTAATGTAAGTATATATTTATGCATATACTTATGTGACGATGGACTTCTATCATCACTTGAAAGTCCAATAGAATAAGTAAATTGGCCCGATGTTCGGGCAGTCTTTGCCCTTTCTCATACAAATACCTACAACTCGAACTTGTAGGGCCCTATCTCCGTGTGCAACGCTGAACCTGTCGCAGCTCAGCACGAGAGCACTAGTGCACGCTGACCTCAGTCTGGCCTGGCAAACCATATCCCTGGGGCTGACTGTCACATGACGTCACTGGAAGCGTTTTGACGACTTCCGCGCCCGCACACTTCGGACGCAACCAATTCTTCACTACTTCTGTAGAGTATACACGATTCTTCATGTCTGACATCCAACTTATTATCTTTCTGCAAGCAAAAGGGCCTGAAAAGCGCAAAGGTCTTACCTATTAACTTAAGCCATTGCGATAAACCTGTGCAACACTCAATAAAATGTGTCAGGACGAAATAAATATTGAACACATGTCAGAACATTTATAAGAAAGGATGAAGTTTAATCCCTTGCGGGATAAATCTTGTACTTCATATGAGGAATTTAATAATCGACACCTTAGTTAGATTTTTCGCACTCGGAATATTTTATATTCCTAGTTTTTGTTTATATATGCAATTGTAGAAACTTGTGAGGCTTAATTGAATATCCAGTTGCAAACTTACGCGAAACATCGTATTGTTTGCGTTTTCTATTGGCTACTGGGAGCAAATCAAAAAATAGAGAGCACAGGTTAACCGTAGCTATCCAATCGGTGGCATTACTTTTTACCTGTGATTGCCGCTTGCAATCCTCTGTCAATAATGGACCTTTCCAGCAAGATTGATATGAGTCTGGGTAATTATCTACAATTTTTCAATTTTTCCAGATATTTTTGTTTGCAAATTCACGTAAGGACAGCTCAGACCTGCCTGTGTTAGTCTGAGTGTCATCTTTCTGATTGAGAGATTTCACGACATCGTTCGAACCCTTATAAGTTTTAGTGTTTTCCTTTAACATTCGTTACCTTCTTAACGTCTGATCGTGTTCTTAGATCGTAAATTGAGGTAATACGTATCGCTGTGGGCAGATTAAACAAGGAAGATGTCGCAGGGCACTCGTACTGTTTTGCCTCTATCGTTGTCTGTGTTATGCTTACTTTCGTTTTTTATAGGTTATAATCTACAGACATGAACATAAATTGAAATCAGTTCTATGCCTTACTTCTTTACAGACGTTCACGTC